TTTACTTACGTTTACGTTTACGTTAACTACCTACCTACTCTCTTCTCGTACGTACGTACGTTAACGTTACTTACTTACTTACTTCCCTTACCTTCTTCTACACTCTCTCTCTCTCTCTCTCTCTCTCTCTCTCTCTCTCTCTCTCTCTCTCTCTCTCTCTCTCTCTCTCTCTCTCTCGCTAACAGGCAGTTTCATGATCTTTACTCTCTATCTTTAATATCTCTCTCTCTCTCTCTAGTAGGCATTTCCACGATCTTTACTCTGTTTTTAATCTCTCACTCAATGGCATTTTCTCGATCTTTACTCTCTGTTTTTAATCCTCTCTCTCTCTAACAGGCATTTCATGATCTTTACTACGCTCTGTTTTCATTCTCTCTCTCTCTAGCAAGCGTTTTCACGACCATTTCTCCTCTGTTTCTTGAGTTAAAAGACATCCAACCGATCTTTCCTCCTCTCTCTCCCTCTCTCTCTAGATTCTGCCTTCTCCTTAGACTTGCAGGCGTTCCATTCGTTCTTCCCTTTTTTGACAAGGATGATTTGATCACTGGTGTGCCCCGACCCACTGCCATTGGCGCGGTGTATGCGGAACTCCAAGGGCGGCGCCACCACGCCATGCTCCGGCCGCGTGGCGAGGTCATCTTCTCAGCATGTGCCAGTGGCAGCCCCCAATTGTTGATGTTGAGCGGCATCGGGCCAAACCACAGCCTCATCAAATGGGTAATCCCGGTCGCCCACCACCTCCCGGCCATCGGCAACGCCATGTGCGACAGCCCCTAGAATGCTCTCTCCTTCGTCTCTCCTGTTTGCCTCCCACTCTCCCTCATCTAGGCCGTTAATCACCACCAATGTCTTTCTAGAAGCCGCCTCCAACTTTGTCCCCTTCACCCCCCGCTCTTGCTCCTCATTTCTTTCTCCTCGGTATTCCTCTATCCAACTCAACATCGCTTACGTTATGGCGGAAATTCTTGGCCCCTGTCGAGCGGTTCCTTACGCCTGGCCTCCTCAAATGTCTGCGACAATCCATTGGTGAGGTTCAATTACTTTGAGGAGGGGTTGGATTTGTAGAGGTACGTGGAAGGCGTGAGGTTGGTGGTTAGGGTTCTCAGGACGAGTGCAATGGACCAGTTCAAGTTCTCAGGGCGGCGTTTCAGGGAAAGGAAGTTCTGGTACTTGGACGACATGTGGTTGCCGGCCAATGTGAGCAACGATGATGCATTCGGTGAGTTCTACCAAAAAATGGTATCGACGATATGGCATTACTATGGAGGTTGCGTTATGGAGGAGGTGGTGGACGCTCAATGGGGTGCAGGCCATCAGGGACGTCGATGGCTCCACCTTCTCGCATTCACCTGGGACCAATTCTCAGGCCACGGTCATGATGCTCGGCCGGTAAAAAAGAGCTCCTCCTCTTTCTCTCTTTCGATATTTGTTGAGGCATTTCCTTGATTAGGTACGTGGGAGAAGATGTTGGAGGAGCGAAGGGCGAGTGACAGAGACACAAAGAGCATGGCGTGAACGATGATTTTTGAGTAAGAGCGTTGACGACGTTGGAGTTATACGAGAATCCGGTATAAGTAGAAGATGTCATTTTCTCACTTTTTTTGTTTTTCGGCTTTTTGTTTTTTATGTATTAGCCATTTATTTATTTCCGTAAAAGATAAATGCGATTGTATTAGCTATACCATTATAGTGACACATTCTTTGATAGAGTAATAAGGATATCACGCACTTTTTTTTTTTTTAGAGAATAAAGAGGAAAGAGACAGAAGTCCCCCTTTTCTGGTTTCTTGTTTCGGGAGTATGAGGCACTTTTTGTTTCTAAGCAATGCTACACTTTGTGCGCATCTGAAAATCTTTTCCCCCCATTTGATTCTGGCTGTTTGCTGTTTGACATTTGAATCAATTCTGAATTTTAAATAGTCCCTTATTGCGTTTCCATCATAATTAGAGTTTTAGTTTGAGTTTCTCTTTTGAACTCCGAAAAAATCAAATTAGCTCTCCTTATCATTACCAACACAACCACTACCATCGCACTGCAATTTATTAGATTAGAGTTTAGATTCAACTATAGTTATCGGGAGCAGGAGCGGGATTGAGGTCTTTATTTAACGAGAGCGCGTTTTATGTAAAATGGGATTGTGTTTCCATGTTCATTAGGATCACACTCCCATAGACAACACGCGATCCCATTTAAAGTTGAGTCTCGCCCCCATCTAAGAATATGTTTTCCTATTTGGAATGGATCTACCTCCATTCAAAGTTGGATCGTGTTCCGTTTCATTTTGAGCCAATCTCCACCTGTCCTCTGCCTCTCTCTCTCTCTCTTGATCAGACATTCACCACCTCTTCAACCTCCGCACTCCTAATCCAATATACCCATCTGCTAAAATGTGCCCCTCTTTCTGTCTGACTTCATGAACACATTCATCAGACTTCACAGTGGGTGGACTCTTTCTCTCTCCTCAGAAAGCACAACAGCAACAAAAATCCACGTACCCATCTCAACCTCAGTTGCTAGCAGTTGGGGACCTCCATGGCTATATCCAAAAGGTTAAACAAGCTCTGAAAATAGCTAAAATCTTCGATGAAAAGCTATTCACTAGATTGCAGGAAACTCCATGGTTGTGAAACTTGGTGATATACTTAACTGGGTTAATATTTTAATTCATCTGGTCCAAAAACAGGATTAATATTTTGGAGATTGGTCATTTGGTCCAAAAAACAGGATTAATATTTTAATTCATAAAATATGTATTTTTTGACAATTTTGAGTACTTTTGAGCACTCCACCCTTGTTTAGTGGCTCATTTATTCAAAGAAACCCACTTATTTGTAATCTCTCTCTTGGTCATTTGTAACTTGGGCAATAAAATTCTTAAATACTTGAGATTTTAGAGTGAGATTTTTTATTTCTTAGCTTTTTATTTTCGCTTTGCATTCAAGTTCAAGACGAAGATGAGAGGAGAGAGAGCAACATTTCCTAGAGAGAGAATACCCTTAGAGCACCATACACCTTAATCTATCTCCTAAACCTTACCTTACATCATACACCATAGAGCACTATACACCTTAGACTATCGGGTACACCCCACCCTATACCATATACCATAGTCTCCTATGTATCTTAGCCTACCCTATACTCCTTAAGTTCCCATGCGCCATACCTCAACCCAACCTAGCTAACCATACACCTGAGCCTTGGATCCTAGTCTTGACCCACCAAGCCTAAGCCTCTCTCTCTAATGTGCATGCAAGGGGACCGATGGATACGTATTAAGGCTCAAGTACATCGAGATGTATGATTATGAAAGAAAAAAGGATATTGACTCACAGAAATAGTAAACTTACAACACATTATCTAGACTATCAATTTTCTAAGCTTTCATATATTTATTTATCTGCATGATTTTAACCATTTTTGGAGTTTAAAATTTTATAATTAGATATGAAAATACATTTTGAGATAATCCTAAGAATATTTTATATCAAAATTATATGTTATGATCTTTGAAGGTGCTCCTTACTTGGATTCTTTAAGCTTGCAACCTTATGGAAACTCTCCTGCTCAAAAATCATTGTTCACGCTCTGCTCTTTGTGTCTCTATCGCTGGCCCTTCGCTCCTCCAACATCTCCACTCCCACGTACCTAATCAGGGAAATGCATCCACCAAAATATCACCTGCAAGAGAGAGAGAGAGAGAGGGGGAGCTCTTCTTTACCGATCGAGCATCATGACCGTGGCTTGAGGATTGGTCCCGGGCGAATGCGAGAAGGTGGAGCCATCGACGTCCTTGATGGCCTGCACCCCACTGAGCGTCCACCACCTCCTCCATAACGCAACCCCCATGGTAATGCCATATCGTCGACACCGTTTTTCGGTAGAACTCACTGACCGCATCGTCGTTGCTGACATTGGCCGGCAACCGCACGTCGTCCAAGTACCAAAACTCCCTCTCCTTGAAACGCTGCCCGGGGAATTTGATCTGGCCCATTGCACTCGTCCTGAAAACCCTAGCCACCAACCTCACCCCTTCCACGTACCTCTGCAAATCCAACCCCTCCTCAAAGTAATTGAACCCCACCAATGGATTGTCGCAGACATTTGAGGAGGCCAGGCGTAAGGAACCGCTCGACAGGGGGCCGGAAATTTTCGCCATAACGGAAGCGATGTTGAGTGGGATAGAGGAATACCGAGGAGCAAGAAATGAGGAGCAGGAGCGGGGGGTGAAGGGGAGGAAGTTGGAGGCGGCTTCTAGAAAGACATTGGTGGTGATGACAACGACCTGGATGAGGGAGAGTGGGAGGCGAATAGGAGAGACGAAGGAGAGAGCATTCCGGGGGTTGTCGCGCATGGCGTTGCAATCGGCCGGGAGGTGGTGAGCGACCGGGATGCCCCATCTGATGAGGCTGTGGTTTGGGCCGATGCCGCTCAACATCAACAGTTGGGGGCTGCCGATGGCACCGACTGAGAGGATGACCTCACCACGCGGCCGGAGCATGACGTGGTGGCGTCGCCCTTGGAGATCTGTATACACCATGCCGATGGCAGTGGGTCGGGGCACACGAGTTCAAGTGATGGGGGGCACAAATGAGAATTACCTTCTAATAAGTGAAAGGAATTCTTGCTGGAGGGGACGGTATTTCTATTGGATATTTTCATGTGCTTTTGACAAGGAAATATGTTTTTGTAAAATTTGTTCTAATGTCCTTGTAATTAGCAGACATGGTTTCTATGAGTTCACGTAGAAATGAGACACCTCTTAAAAATCTATTTTTGGACTTAATTTTTAAGGTCGTGTAATCTCTAAATTTTTAAGGTCGTTTAATCTCTAACATGAAGATCAGTATCTAAAATTTTCTAACAATAGACAAAAAAAAAAAAAAAATTATTTTTCTAAGAATTTACAGCATTTAAAATTTCTAACATAGATAAAATATCACAATTTTTATTAAAAAGATTATTATTCAAGATAATGAGGTCGCGTGCGCATAAAATTTATCGCACCTAAAATTCATGATAATAAGTAAAAATAATTATTTTATTTCATTTTTAAAAAGAACGAATTATGTTTCAAGATAATGAAATCACTTAAACAAAACTTATAAAATAAAGATCCTGTACGAAAATAGCACTATTTATTAAAAACAGACTATTTTTCAAGAAGATGATCAATTTTACGAAAATAGCACTTACTTTAACTCCGAAACTAGGGAAGCATCAATTTTGGATGTAGGCTTATCATATGTGTCATCGTAGTCTCATGTGTACGGTTCATAGGCCATGGTTAGAGAGTGAGGTTATAGATGTAGAAGGTCCAGTACAGAGAGTAGATATAGGGGAGGTTTTGAGATGGTCTTATAGAGAGAAAAAGATGAGGAAGTTGTGTAAATACAAGAGAGAGTAATAGAAGCCTCTTCGTGAGAGAAGAGAAATGTGAAAATGCGTTGATGAGCGAGGGATGGATGAGCTGTTGATGAGAGAGAAAGAGAAGCCTTTTTACCTAAAAACGTAAGAGAGAGAGAGAGAAAAAGAGTCAGACGAATAAAAGGGAAACACCTCGGATGCAAGGTGTTGTACAAGGAATGTTAACATAAAGCTTTAAGATAGTTGACCTAAGGTCCACCCAAATAAAATTGAACCCTCAAGTATATTAACAATAATATCGTTTATTTGTTGTTAATATAAAAGTAACAATATCCTAACAGTATATTAATATTATTATGATTATTATCATTACTAATATATACTTATTATTTTATATATTTATTTATTTATTTGTATTTATTTCTGTTAATACTATTAATATTATATATATATATATATATATATTTATTTTTGTTTCTTTTTAAAAAAAATAAAAAATTTTAGGATTGTTACAACAACTGTTAACCCCGTATTCTCCCTATAAAAGGAAAGCCAGAGAGAGGAAGATAACAACAAAAATAAAAGGAAAAAAATATACAGAACTTGCTGTGTAAACATATATAGGCAGTTTATCTCTCTCTCTCTAAAAGTGAAGGGGGTTCCTAAAATCCAAGCTCTGCGATCACCAGCCTCACGGCACCTCCTCTCTGATCTCAGGTTTTAATCTCATCCACGCTCCATCAATATTTACTATCATTGGTATCAGAGTCAGGTTCCATCTTCCCTTTTTTTTTTTACTCTAAATTTTTTTAACGATAGGGCTTAGGTGATTTGTTTGTTACGATATATGCCCAATTTATTTTTTGTGTATAAATTGTTCTTTAAATATCACCTGTTGCTATCTTATCTTGGTTCACAATGTTATCTTGGTTCACATTGTTAATTAATTAAAGGATAAGTATGCATGCACTCCCTTTGTATTAATAAATTTCAAATCACCTCTATCCAATTTTTTATGGGTTTGGTTTAGTAATTGAATTGTGAGGGTGATTTGGCTCCTGTTATGGTTCTGTTTTTTGCTTTGTCTAATACGTTGTGATATGGATATATATTACTATGTTATGGGATTAACTCCCTAATTTTTTTAATTGATCACTTTGATTTACTTTCTGCAACATCCACAAAAATAGCGGTAGTTGATCACTTTGATTTACTCTCTGCAACATCCACAAAAATAGGGGTAGTTGATCACTTTGATTTACTCTCTGCAACAACCATAAAAATAGGGGTTTGGGATTGGAACTCTATGCAACATCCACAAAAACAGGGTTTTGGTATTGGATCCCACGTTATATTGATGAACACATATGTGGACAATTGTTTTTTATTAAGCGTGTTTGAACAGGTTAAGGAGAGTTTTGGATAACTCAATGTTAGAGGAAGCGCATATTTGAGCATACCAGAAAATGCTCCCTCTCTCTCTTTTCGATCAATATCAAGAAGAAGAACACATATTTATGCTAGCCCATCAAACCTTTAGCCCACGTGTTCTCTCTCCAAACTTTGTTGTGTACCTACAAACCCTTCTAAGCGTTGATTTTGTTATCTCCTACTTATAAGAGTTGATTTTGGTACGGATCCATTATTTTAAATTGTCTGTATTCGACGGTCCCTAATGAGATAACAAATGACCTAAAGATTTTGATTTTGCTCATTGCTTTTGTATTGTTGATATTTCTATATTTTAAAAAATAAAAAAATAAATAAAAATAATAGAAAAGGGTGTGGAATACATATTTGCTATTTTGTTGCCTTATATATTGCTGATATTTCGATTAAAAAAAATTATAAATATAGAATACTTATTTTGTTGTATTTGAATACAATTAATGCACTTACTACCTTGGTGTGATATTGAAATTGATTTGTCTTCTATAGAATCTCATACTTGATATTTGCTCTTCTATTATAAGGGCTCACACACCCTTGATATTGCTCTTGCACCCCAAATAAATAAATATAAGAGATAATTTTATCCTTGATAATCCTATAGATTGAGAGATTGCCTATTTTGATTTTTTTTTAAAGAATCACTCAATAACTATTATTGTTTTATGAAATAATTGCAGCTTTCTCTGTACGAGTATTGACCGAATATTAAATTCTTAGTACCGTATTTAGCTTCTTTAGAACTTAGAAAGTATTAGGATGTTCACACAAAACTTAGCAAATGGCTAGTAGAATTGTAATGGCTGAACTTTCTAAAGTTGAAAAATTGAATGGAAACAATTTTGGGATGTGGAAGAGGAAGATGAAATATCTCCTCATCCAAGATCGAATCATATATGTACTAAAAGATGATCTACCAGTAACTGGTAATAAACCAAATGAAGAAGAAAATAAAAAGTCAAATTTTTTTTTAGAAAATGACATCATAGCAAAAACTTCCACGTTAACTTTTATGCAAGATGACTTTATTAAAGTTTTCGAGTATCATGAAACATCAAAGAAAATGCTGGAGGCAATAAAAAATAAATATGACTCAACCTCTGAAACGCACAGTTGGAAGATATTTTTCATTATCATAGGCCCCCACTCAATAATACCCTAGCAAACAGTGGAAATCCCGACAGTCTTAGAATAGACCTAGAATTGGTCAAAATCTTTATAAAGACTCTCAAAAGTCTCGTGCCAAGTTTTGTCGCCATTCGATATGTCGAACACAGTGCAAACTTAGAAACCATTATGACAAAATCAACCTTTAGCACCCAGAAACAGACCCTATAACTAGAGGAACATTTTCGGTGTGTAAGCTCTCCTCTAGAATCAGGCTTCTTTTGCGTCTCTCTGCGCCTATCACCATGCGCAAGCATTCCTTGTGTCCCATGCCCATCGTCGTCCACCCCATGAGAGGTAATTGTCGCGTGACTTAAATAAAATTATCGCCATGCGCCTTCCCAGAAGCTATCGCTGTCCGCAAGGGACGTGTTGCCTTCTCACGTGCTAACGACGATGCTTATTGCCGTCCCCGGGTTTCTCTTATGTTCCACATCCAACGCCGTGTGCCTCACAGGGGAGCTATCGTCGTAAGCCTTATCAGAAGCCACTGCTGCCCGCAAGAGATGCGGTGTCTTCTCATGATGCCAACGACGATAACCATTGTCGTTGGGACCCTATCCCTCCGCTGTCTCGTGCCTTCTCTTCGTTCTCTCCTCTTCTCAATTGATTGAGGGTTAACTTAGCTTAGCACCGCTATATCGGCCTCGGTTTTGAGTAGTCTTGCCGCCGTACTGGTCTTGAGTACCATGCCCATCTTGCTACCACTCCGAGTCGGTCACTGTCCGACTATCAAGCTAGTCTTGTCCCTTCATCAAGTTTTCTTCTCTCTCCGACCTTTGCTTGAACCTTTGCTCTATCATCCTAACCTCCCACATTCTTAGCCACACGAATGTGCATTGCCTTAAGACAAGGGTGGCCCCCTTTGGCCCACTTGTCTTGTAAATTAACTATAGTAGTGTTATGCAGAAAAACATGGAGATTACATGTCTAAGGAGGCGATTTTGAACCAGCTAGAGCAGCTGGGGGTCTTTTCGACATGATCTAAGAGGGTGGCCACGCGAGCCAGCCCGAGTAAGTCTCGAATCCACCTTAAATTCCTCTCTCATCGGTTGGTATACATGCCCTTACTCTTAAGCGAGGTTCCGAGAGAGCGATCTCAAATCTCGAGTTCACTAGAAACCCGAGATACGTGCCCTAGATCATCTAGATCCGGAGGGTGAGATCAAGGCACCAAACCAGCTTGGCGACTCCACTGGGCAGCCTAAGCGCCTTGCATAGGGTAAGAAAAACCTCTGGTGCCCATATCACCAAGTATGGGGCCACGAACTGAAAGAATGCTCTGGGTTTGAAGCCATAATCACGAAGAATGTCCTGGAAGGCCACATCGTCTGCGCCGTTCTCCCGGAGCACTTCCAATCCGTCGCTCCCGTTTAAGAGAAAGCCCCACTACAGGCCCTCCATGAACATACATTGGACCCTTCATAGCCCTCGACTTCTCAACCCTGGGAAGTCTATCATGGGCGAAGTAGGCTCAAATCCCAGAAATGTGAGGTAGGCCACCAAGCTAGGACTACTCATTAGCCCGATAGGGCAGTCCAAACACCCCCTCAGGGA